CGGCAGAGCAAACGGCCACCTGATTCGGCTGTAAAGGACAGCCCCCCCCCCTTGTGTGTGTGAAGGGGTGTCATGGGGGGGGGGTATTTGCCGGCTGCCCCGCCTGTGAATTAATTGCTCCAGGGCTGCCCCCATAGCAAAAGTGTTTGGGGCAGGATCGGATTGAGGGCAGGTTTGGGGAGGTGTTTTGAGCTGCGGTGGCTCAAGTGGTTAAGACGCTGAACTGCAGGCTGTGGAAGGTCAGCAGTTCGAGACCCGAGTGTGCCGCATGACGGAGTGAGCTCCCGTCTCTGGCGCCAGCTCCTGCCAACCTAGCCGTTCGAAAGCAAGAACGTGCAAGTAGATAAATAGGTACCGCTTCGGTGGGAAGGTAACAGCGTTCCGTGCGCCTTGGTGTTTAGGCATGCTGGCCACATGACCACGGACACGTCTTCGGACAGTGCTGGCTCTTCGGCTGGGAAACGGAGATGAGCACCGCAACCCTAGAGTCGGATTCGACTGGCTTTCGAGCAAGGGAACTTTTACCTTTACCCTTTTTTTTTTAGCTGCACGGAAAGTGCAGCCTTCTCCCCAAAGATGCGCGCACATGAGGCATTGGGGATGGGGGAGTTTGCAGCCTAGGTGACCGTAGCTCTGGTGAGGGGGTCTGTGGCGGGGGGGGGGGGTGGCAGCGTTTTCTAGCTACAGACTGACACTGCAGGAGGTGGCCCTGACTTATCATTGAAGGGGACTGAATGGCCCTTGATTTATTTATTATTTAGCAGGTACTCATTTGCATATTAAGCAACACACCCCTAATGTAGCCAATCCTCCAAGAGCTTACAGTAGCTCCTGTAAGAAGTGCTCTGTAAGCTCTTGGAGGATTGGCTACATTAGGGGTGTGTGTCGCCTAATATGCAAAGGAGTCCCTGCTACAAAAAGAGCCCCGGAACTTGCTGGGCTGACTCATGGGGAGGGGGTCCTGGCAGATGCTAATCTAGAAGGCTCACGTGCTCAGCTGTTGATGGATGCCCAGAGGGATAATTCTACTTTGTGAGCAACTGGCATTCAAGTTGTGAGCAGGTGATTCGGCTACTGCATAAATTAGTTTGCTCTGGAGCAATGCTCCCTCTAAGCTGTGGAGTCTTGTAAGCAAAAAATTCTACTTTGTGAGCAACTGGCATTCAAGTCGCGAGCGGGTGATTCGGCTACTGCATAAATTAGTTTGCTCTGGAGTCAGTCCTGAGTGAAGACAAAAATATGTGAGCCGGAGGCTAAGAGACGGTGAGCTAGCTCACACTAGCTCGGCTTAGAGGGGACACTGCCCCGTACCACTGACCGCTCCAGGCGTGACTTGGCACAAGCTGATCTCCGTGGGGTGGCGTAGGGGGCTCTGAAGTCTACTTTGAGTGATCCGGCTACGTCAGTAAAGATTTGGGGTGGCTACTCCTGCTTGCTGGTACAGAAAACTGTGGGGTTTGGCAGCCTGAGGGAACTTGGGCAGTTGCTGTAAAATGCCAAATGGACAAACTCGGCACCGCCCCCACCCCAAAAAAAAAAAAGAAGAAGAAGAAGGGAAGAAAGCATGTTAATCCCTGCTGGTTCTATAAGTAGCCGTTTTCTACAGTGTCTGTTCATTGGCCTCCTACAAAAATCAGGGGACAGGTTCTCCGAAACCCTGTTAGAGCCTATGGAGAAAGGTTAAAGCGCTTGGGGCTCTTTAGCTTGGAGAAACGATGGCTGAGGGGTGACGTGATCGACGTTTATAAGATTATGCATGGGATAGAGCAGGTAGAGAAAGAGGTACTTTTCTCCCTTTCTCACAATGCAAGAACTCGTGGGCACTCCATGAAATTGCTGAGCGGTCGGGTTAGAACGGATAAAAGGAAGTCCTTCTTCACCCAAAGAGTGATTAACACTTGGAATTCACTGCCACAGGAGGTGGCGGTGGCTACAAGCATGGACGGCTTCAAGAGGGAATTAGATAAAAACATGGAGCAGAGGTACATCAGTGTGACTATTAGCCACATGTTATCAATAGGAACTCTCGGTCTGGGGCTGGGCGGGGGGCAACAGTGGGAGGGCTTCTAGTGCCCTGGCCCCACTGGTGGACCTCCTGATGGCACCTGGTATTTTTGGCCACTGTGTGACACAGAGTGTTGGACTGGATGGGCCATTGGCCTGATCCAACATGGGCTTCTCTTACGTTCGTATGTGTGTTAAATGCCATCAAATCACGTCCGAGTCATGGCAATCCGATGAGTTAGGTCCTCTCCGCATTTGCCTGCCACTCCGGATTTTCTCAGTGTTTGAGTCGAGCCCGTAGCAAAACAACATCCAAATAGCCCGAGGCAACAGCAGGCTGAAACTGGGCTGACCACTGAAGGGAGGCAATGTAATGTGGGGGGGGGGGGCTGGATTTAAAAGAAGGTTGAATTTGATGTTAGTGCAGAATCACTTGGCAGGACACTGCAGTGGACATGGATTAAAAGGAGAGTGCAGAAAGGGCTTTAATGTCCTCCGAAACGTTCTGTCACTAACAGCCTCGGTCAAATTCAGGCGGATAGCTCTGTTGGTCTGAAGCAGTAGATCAAGGTTTGAGTCCGGCGGCACCCTTGAAACGACAAAGTCTTGTTTTGGGTACGAGCTTACATGTGGATGCACACTTCTTCAGGTACATCTGTATCTGAAGAAGTGTGCCCGCACACAAGCGCTTATACCCAGAATAAAACTTTGTTTGATCTTTTATTTATTTATTTATTTATTTATTAGATTTCTCTCCCGCCAAAGCGGCTCAGGGCGGCTTGCAGCAATTATAAAACCAGCATAAGTACATATATAAAATACAACTCGATAATATAGCTCAGCTCATTTCCAATTCAATAAATACAGTTAAAACCATTTAAATGTGACGGTGTTGTATAATAAAGTTCAAGTGCAGCACAGCCGACATAGGGTCTTTCCTACTGAAATGCCCAGTGATAAAGCTCCATTTTCATGGCCCTGCATATCTCTAGTATTACTTGTTTTATAGTTTTCCAAAATTTACAAATCTTCTCACATCTCCACCATATGTGGTAATATGACCCAGTGTTTTTGTTACATCTCCAACAATTCCCTGAGATATAAAATCCTACTTTGTAAGCAAGCGATTCGGTTACTGCATAAATTTGTTTGCTCTGGAGCCATCCCTTCCTGAGCCAAGTCAAAATGTGAGCCGGAGGCTAAAAAACTGTGAGCTGGCTCACACTATCACTCAGCTTAGAGGGGACACTGCCTACCATGATTGTCTTATCCAGTGACACTTGTCTTCTCGTAATGCGACAGAAGTACAAGAGCCTCAGTTTCGTCGTTCTAGCTTCCAGAGAAAGTACAGGCCTTGATTTGATCTAAAACCCGCTTATTTGGGGGGCAGGCGTACCCACAATGATTTCCATAACTTGCTCTGGGGACGGAGCAAAGGAAAATCGAAACTGCACAAAACAGGGAATGTTTTTTAATCCTCCACATTTTTTCCTTTGCTCCCACCCCCACCCCAAACCTGCATTACTTCATTAAGCTTGTGATTCTTTGTTAAGGAGGTCGCTGCCCTGGTTTGAAAATGAACGTAACGGCCCTGACAAAGGCAGTCCCAAATGCAGTTCCTATGAGCAGTGTTGTTTAGTTTTCAAGCACTCTCTGGTAAAAGAGGCACCTTGATACAACCTGGCAGCAGCGTTCACTCTAAGCGGAGTTGGTGTGAGCTAGCTCACGGTTTTTTAGCCTCCGACTCACACAGTTTTGTCTTGGCTCGGGAAGGACGGCTCCAGAGCAAACTAATCTATGCAGGAGCCAAACCGCTCGCTCACCACTTTAATGCCAGTAGCCCACAAAGTGGAATTCTTGCTCACAGGACTCCACAGCTTAGAGGGAGCGTTGCCTGGCAGTCATGTCAAACATTACCCTAAATGCTCTGCAGTTCATAAAACGGAGGGCAGGTGGTTTGGGTTTTTTGGACTGCGTGGGCGTTCCCTGGAAACTTATCGGAGAGTCCCTTGATAGAGAAGACAGTGGACGGGGTACCCTGCCTGCCATTACTGATCTTCCTCTACCATGTGCCTTAGCAGGGTTTGTTTTACCCTAGGGTGGAGGGCAGAATAGCCCACGAACTGAAGGTGCATCCCGAAGTCCTTTGTAACTTGCCCCCGTTTCTAAACCGGTTTTAACCGGCTTTCCCCCACTCTTTTCAACAGCTGGTATGTTGGGAGGGGTAGCCCTGAGATGAAAAGTGGCCAGCCCTCTTGTTTTGGGTGAGGTGTAGGTTTGCAGAGGGGATGGGACACTTTAAGCTTCCCATACTCTCCTTGTGAATTTCCTACATGTAGAGACAATTGGGCAATAGGAGATTTGGGGGGGTGTCTTGATAGAAGAAAACGGAGCGTGTAATGTGGGGCAGGACCTTGGGGGCGCAGTGGGGTGGAGAAAGGGGTTTTGTTCTATAGCCCGGCCTTGGAGTAGCAGTAAGCTAGGCAGACTGTAGGCATGGGGCAGGTCAAGCGTGGCTCTTTGGGGAGAGGGTCGAGTTTGGGGGGGGTTAGGGGCTGCAAGTGGGGTCCCAGAAGCGTGTTCACAAGTGGCTTGGGTGGCGGGGCATCGTTGTGCCTTCTTTATTTTAATAGACCTCGAAGCAAATGGGCTTGGGGGGTGTCGGGGGAGATTAAAGGCGAAGTAGGTCGCTGAGGTTGAGATATGGGGGGTGTCTATGGGACGGGGTGGCCAAGTGGCTGGGTTAAAAGAATTTCCTACATTGTGCTGGGGGTTGGACTAGATGGTCCCGGAGGTCCCTTCCAACTCTGTGATTCTGTTCTGATTTGGAAGAGAGGAGGAGGAGACGACGGGGCCAGCTTAATCGGGGGACGGACAAAAGTTCACGAGCCGAGACGGAACCGAAAAGGAACAAAGGAAGAGCTCGCCTGTTGCCCAGCGGACATCTGGAGGCTTTTCTGAAGAGCCTTGAATGGGCCGTGGCGCATTCATCTTCTTTCCCTCCCCTCCCGTCTGTGAATTGTATCACTGCGCTTTTATAAATAAAGGGTGGAAAGAAATGAGGGATTGTTATATGCCCAGGGAAAAAACCCTGTAGAGCAAATGGCTCTTTTAGAGGTTGGACAGGCATGGGAAATCGTCTCGCCGCGTTGCAGCTGCTTTTAGCTTCAGACCGCGGAAAGCACAGCCAAAGGACCCCGTTGTTTTGTTTTCAGTGTAAAGGCATCGCGCAACCCGCGACAAGTCCTTTCTGAGCTGAGGGGATGCGAACCAGGTTTCTGTCCCGTCGTCGGTGATCTTTCCGATTTTCTTGGGTTCCCTCGTGCTTTTAATTTGATGCCGACTTTTCATTTCATGCCGCTTGGTTCATAGCGGTGCTTTTAGGGTGCCGATGGCTGCATTCGTTTATTTATTTATTTACATTTACGTTTATATCCTGCCCTGCCCTCCCCGCCATTCATTTACATCCCACCTGTCTCCTCAGCGGGGGCCCAAAACCTGATCACATTGTTCTCTACTCCACTTCATTCTGTGGCTCTGTGGTAAAGCATCTGCTTGGTGGGGGCCCAAAACCTGATTACATTGTTCTCTACTCCACTTCATTCTGAGGCTCTGTGGTAAAGCGTCTGCTTGGTATGCAGAAGGTCCCAGGTTCGATCCCCGGCATCTCCAGTTTGAGGATCAGGTAGCAGGTGTTGCGAAAGACCTCCACCTGAGACCCTGGAGAGCTGCTGCCAGTCTGAGTAGACAATACTGACTTTGATGGACCGAGGGTCTGATTCAGTAGAAGGCAGCTTCATGTCTGTTCGTGTGTGTGAGAAAGTTGCACTCTGTGGAGATCTATCGTGTCTATCCGTGAAAATCCTCCATGTCCAACCCATTCTCACAAAAGCTCTGTGGGGTCGGTTAGACTGAGAGCGTGTGACTGGCCCAAGGTCGCCCAGCAAGCTTTTATTATTTTTATTTATTTATTTGGACTTTTTGGCTGGCCTACCTGCGAGCAGGGCTCGGGGCAGCTTACAAGAGAATAGGAACAGTAAATAGTACAGATTAAGTCAAAACCATAATAAAATACCAGACAAATCAGTAAATAAAAGAAGAGTCGATTCCAAGATGGCAAAATTTCAGGGAAATTAAAAAAAGAGAAGAAAAGCTTCCGTGGCAGAGTGAGGATTCGCACCTGGGTTTCCCAGATTGTAGCCCGACACTTTAACCACTGCACCAAGCTGGTTCTCTTAAGAGCCCGACAGCAAGGGAAACTGGGTTTCTTTCGGTGTTAGGAAATGGTGCCGAGGGAGGGCAGAACGAACTCATGGTACAGACGAACCGAAGATACGTAGCCCAGGTGGGCTAAACGCTTCATACAGTGTTCCCTCTAAGCTGAATTAGTGTGAGCTATCTCACAGTTTTTTAGCCTCCGGCTCACACATTTTTGTCTCAGCTCAGGAAGGAGGGCTACAGGGCAAACTAATTTATGCGGTAGCCAAAGTGCTCGCTTACAACTTTAATGCCAGCAGCTCACAAAGTAGAACCTTTGCTCACGAGACTCCACAACTTAGCGGGAGCATCGTCTAGCAGCATGTGCTGACTCCATGCAGGTAAGTCCTTGCCTCAGCTTCGCCTTTAAAGCGAGCCAAGAGGCCGCAAACACCGGCCCCGATCCTGGCAGGTTCCTCCTCATCGCCAACCAATCTGAGGTGAGGCGTGGCGCGATACGAAAGCTGAATCAATTTAAAGCGAGGTCCGGCTTTTCTCTTAAAACCTCTTCTCTGGGAATAGGATGAGAAGTGCTTTCTGAGGTCTCTGGTCTGCGGATCGAGGGCTTGTTTGCATCCTCCCCCCCCCTCACCGAAAGAGCCGATGTCTCCCGTTGAAACTCCTGGGGTGAATCACCTTCTCTTCCGTAGCTGCCACTGCAGGGCAAGCGCCGGTTCTTCTCTTGGGTGTGCCTTGAGGCAAAAGCACTCTTCTGCTGGATGGAGCAGCTCCTTGAGCGTGAGACACACATATTCCCAGAACTAATGGCTGCGTTTGGTTTTGCTATATACCGGACAGCGCACGGGCCAGAGTCCCAGAGGTGTAATTCTCTCTCTCTCTCTTCCCCCCCCCTTTTCTTTCACAACGTGTCCTCCTCCAAATCAGCCCGAGCGGGAAGAAATTCAGGAGCAAGCCGCAGCTGGCCCGCTATCTGGGAAGCTCCATGGACTTGAGCAGCTTTGACTTCCGCACGGGGAAGATGCTCATGAGCAAGATGAACAAGAACCGGCAGAGGATGCGCTACGACTGCTCCAGCCAAGCCAAGGTGAGGGGGGCGGTGTGGGAGAGGGGCCTTGTCGCGGCTGTGGCACATCTCTTCTGCATGAGAGATTTTTGTCGGGCTTGTCCAGGCTCGGAAGCTAAGCGGGGTCACCCCCCCGTTCAGTATTTGGATGGGAGGCCACCCGGGAAGTCCAGTGTCACTACGCAGAGGCAGGCAATGGCAAACCAATCTCTGAACATGAACATCTCTCGTCTTAAAAACCCTGTGGGGTCACCATAAGCCAGCTGCGACTTGATGGCAAAAAGGGGGGGTGTTCGGTGTCGTGGTTAAGTGCGCGGACTCTAATCTGGGAGAACCGGGTTCAATTCCCCACTCCTCTACATGCAGTTGCTGGTGTGACCTTGGGCAAGCCATAGTTCTGGCACCGCTCTTCCTCACAGGCACTGTTCCCTCTAAGCTGTTAGTGTCAGCTAGCTCACACTCTTGTAGCCTCCAGCTCACAGACTTTTGCCTTAGCTCAGGAAGGGATGGCTCCAGAGCAAACTGATTTATGCAGTAGCCAAATCGCTGGCTCACAACTTTAAAGCCAGTAACTCACAAAGCAGAATTTTTGCTTACAAGACTCCACAGCTTAGAGGGAACATTGCTCACAGGGTGTCTGTTGTGGGGGAGGGGGAGGGAAAGGAGTTTGTGAGCCGCTCTAAGGCACCTTCCGGTAGCGAAGGGTGGGGTATAAATCCAATCTCCTCTTCTTCTTTTACCTCACAGGGTGTCTGTTGTGGGGAGGGAAGGGAAAGGAGTTTGTCAGCCGCTCTGAGACTCCTTCGGGTAGTGAAGGGCGGGGTATAAATCCAATCTCCTCCTTCTTTTACCTCACAGGGTGTCTGTTGTGGGGAGGGGAAGGGAGAGGAGTTTGTAAGCCGCTCTGGGACTCCCTTGGGTAGTGAAGGGCAGGGTATAGATCCAATCACCATAGAGAATAGCCCAGTTTCACCCTAGCGTAACTTTCCATGGCTTTGGTGGTGGTGGAAAGTGCCCGTCCAGTCGCAGCCAGCTTATGGCGACTGTGTAGCGCAGAGGTGTCAAACTCATTTGTTACAAGGGCCGAATCTGACATAATGTCACTTTGCCGGGCCGGGCCACGTGTGCCATAGCACGTAATGCCAGTTACGGGAGATATAAACTGTATAAAGGACAGCAGCTGGTAAGCTCCGAGTTGGTGTGTCCTCACCGCAAGGCCCCGTGGGCTGGGAGGGGGGTGCAAAGGAAAACCCAGCAGTGCAGAATTGGGCAGACGCTCCCACACTGCTTGACTGCTGCAGACGATGTTCCGCCACGCTGAAGCCCCAATCGGAGTGGCTCTGCCCACTCCCCTATGCAGGTTCCTGCTCCTTCCCTTGCACTAGTTGCTCACAGGGCATGTAAGAGCCCTGGATGGGCCAGTTCCAGCCCCCAGACCTTATGTTTACCACCCCTGGTGTAGCGCTTTCAAGGCATGAGACGTTCGGAGGTGGCTTGCCATTGTCTGCCTCTGCATCAGGCCTGCGGTCTTCCTTACTGGTCTCCCATCCAAATACTAACCAGGGCTGTAATGATTTCATGTTTTGGTGTGTGTGTTTCTTTAAATGTTTAGTTTGAGTGCAGTAATGTAAGAAGAGTGATAGAGGGAGACAAGTGTGATGTGATTGGCTGATGACTGAGAGTGTGGGAGGAGCGGTGTCTATGAGAGTGATTCTGTGTGTGAAGTTTGGAGAGAGAGCATAGTCCATGTCACTATGGAAGTTTTTGAGTCTGTTCTGTGTGAATAAGACAAACAGTTTAGTCTGTGTGACTGAGCCAGTTTTTTAAGTGCGCAGACTGTAATCTGGGAGAACCGGGTTTGATTCCCCACTCCTCCACTTGCACCAAACTGTGTGGTCAGACAAATGTTTTATCTTGTGTGCCTAAGACAAAGAGCTTAGCCTGTGTGGCTACATATATGAGAGAGAGAAGCCTGTCAGTGTGGGATTTTGGTGTCTGAAAGACTGTGTGTGACACCTTGCCAGTTATATTTACAAGTTCCTTTTTCCAGAAACAGTTCAAGATAGCCAGAAACCTATTTTGTTCTTTATTCAATAAATCATTTTTTGTTTAAACCCATTCCAGAAATCAGAATAGTCCTTCCTTAGGGCCACATAGTCCGCTGAAGTGTCCAGACCCTAGGTCATTCTACCAAAAGAGAGAGATTTGGAATTTTTCATTCCTGGTGGCAGCAGAAATCTAACAAGTTTAGGTACACAGAGAGTGTTTTAAAGGAAAAACTGTCTCCCCAATAATAAGCACATCACAAGGGCCAACCTTGCTTAACTTCCAAGATCTGAGGAGATCGGGCTATAGCAGGGGTGGCCACACTTGCTCAGCGTAAGAGCCACATAGAATAAATGTCAGGTGTTTGAGAGCCACAAAACATAAACAGATATTACATGCACGGTTTTATTTTAAAATATGCAGATTTGCTTTTTTTATTAACATTAAATGAGACTGCCAAAAATAAAAAAAACAAAAGGGGTAAAAACAGAGATATTGATCATGATGTTCATTTGTTTGCTAATGATATTTATTTGTCTAAGAGAGAGAGAAAACGAAAGAGGTGGAAAGAGAGAGAGAGAAACAAAGAAAGCAAATAGACAGGAGGGAGGGTGGAAACAGGCCCTTTTTTGTAGAAAAAGCCCAGCAGGAACTCATTAGCATAATAGGCCACACCCAACAGCAGAAATCCATTAGCATATTAGGCCACACCCCTGACAGCACAGCTCATTAGCACATTATGCCGCAC